TTAATAGAATAGACGCAAAAAATCAATATAATTTTCAACTAGAATTTTCAACTTTTCATAGAACTTTAATAATTAATTCAATTGTTATAGAATGTCGATAGAAATTCAATAGAATTTCTTAGAAAAAGCCCAAAGTTTTTCTACTGAATTTTGTGACACGTGAGTTTTTATATGTTCGTACAGTTCACCGACTAGTCTTCATTTTTCACCTCATCATATACATATCCATGTTCACAGACTAAAAATTATAAAATAATTGCCCATCGAGTCGATTTTTACGACTTGTAGTACTGAATCCCTCCTACCCCCCAATTTTTTAATACCATTTAATACTCCAGTATCACTTTGATCGTTTAAAGTACAATTTTTTAAATGCCAAGGAACTGTATTCGGATACGCTTCGATGGTAAAAAGAATATAAATTGAATTGACAATAGCCTGATGCTCGATTTTAATTGATCAATGGGATGTTTAATCATAACTGAGTGAATTTGGAATGGTACATTTTTAGAATTTTCACTGAGTGCATTTCAAATCTGCAATTCGCTTTCATGAATTCTGGCCTGAACTCGTTACAGCAGGAAATGATTTAATGATATTGTCTCCCTTTACCTTAATTTCACAGTTCCTTGAATATTCTAACAAATTATTTATAGCATTCATCCAAAAAACGCCGTTTGCAAATTTTATCATCATTCTATGCCTCACGAAGCTTCATGAGAATACAATAATTTACCAGTGTTTTTCTAAAGCTTCATCAATTTTTGGATAGTTTAGAATAAATGCAGGGAAATTATTGCACAATCCTATTTTAGGAGTCATTAAGTAATGATGGAATGCAAAATCGGTATATTTTTTTGGCAGAAAACTCAAATTACCAATTTTTGGCGAATTATCGTATGAAACTTGACGAAAGTGAGAACAATGAAGGTAAATATCGTTTTGATTTGTTTTTTAATTGAGAATTCAATGTAATTAAGAACTGAATCTCGATGTTTTCAGCAAGATACTAACAAAAAAAATTGGGACTCATTGAAGAATTGAAGGTTTTCATAGAAAATCTTGCAATATTTTTCATTGGGCCCAACTTCTTTCGAGGTATTCATAAGTAAATCCTCCCAAAATCATGCGGCCCATTCCTGCTGTCTCGACTTTTCCCCTGAATTCTTCTTTTCCATCTCGAACTCTTTTGTATATATCTGTTATCGAAATGTAAAGCAACTAATGGTGATTTAATTGAGAATGTGCTTCTAGGAATTACCAGAGATACAATCATAGATTATTGTATATAAAACTGCGTCATGTACTGAACTCATCAGCAGTCTATAGCCGAGAAAGAAAAAAATTCAAAATATTAATAATGGAGTAGAGAACATCATGAACCTACAGGAACCTATGAGAAACCTGTGGGAACATCATATTAAACAACTTTCTTGGGCCTAAGTATTGATCTGTAGTCCCGATTAAAAAACGTAGCAGAGAGACTAAACTGCTTGTAAAATCCTCATTACTCTTCATCACTCATTAACCAAAAAATAAAAAAAATACAGATTATTTAGGTCCTACTCGAGATTCATTCCGGTAGTCTTCAATAGATAAAGCACAAGTTTCAAATGATGAAAATGTGAGATTAAATATACATATTTATGATATATTAATTAGCCAATGAAGCCTGAATTCGCGCGCTAGTCGTGTAAATATTGATTTTCGCCAAATTTTTTAGTTTATCGATCGATATAAGTGTTGTGTAAAAATTAAAGAAAACAATGAACATTGTGTAGATCATATTTGAGATATTTGATTGATTGAAAAAAAGACTAAATAAAATTATGACTCAAGTAGAATAAATGATGTCTTAATTTACTGTGGATGGGGAATTTTTCTACGATATGAAATTTCCCCGAATGGAATGGGCTGAGAAATTATTGCGAAAATTTTTCTGTTTGTTTTTTATCGCAAGGAATGGCAGGAAATTTCAACAACACCAAAGTTTAGCTCAAGACTGTTGTTTGATGTATTTATCTCCTTGTTGTTTCTACCTCTCTTCTCACTTTATTTTCTATTCACTGAGAGGATAGAAAAGGGGTTTTTATAAAAAAATGATAATTCCAATGATTATTGTTTTTGATGGACCAGATGCATACACTGAGAGAAAAATGTAGTAGTTTCAACGGAATATGGTGCCAACCACGCAC